CACCCCCCTCCCAAGTTGTAGTACATAATCTGTTTACAGTACAACAGTTAAGGGACATGTACTGTACACCCCCTCCCACAAGTTGTAGTACATAATCTGTTTACAGTACAACAGTTAAGGGACATGTACTGTACACCCCCTCCCACAAGTTGTAGTACATAATCTGTTTACAGCAACAGTTGGACATGTACTGTACACCCCCTCCCAAGCTGTAGTACATAATCTGTTTAGTACAACAGTTAAGGACATGTGTACACCCCCCTCCCACAAGTTGTAGTACATAATCTGTTTACAGTAATAGTTAAGGGACATGTCTGTACACCCCCTCCCACAAGTTGTAGTACATAATCTGTTAATACAACAGTTAAGGGACATGTACTGTACCCTCCCCAAGTTGTGTACATAATCTGTTTACAGTACAACAGTTAAGGGACATGTACTGTACACCCCTCCCACAAGCTAGTACATAATCTGTTTACAGTACAACAGTTAAGGGACATGTACTGTACCTCCCACAAGCTGTAGTACATAATCTGTTTACAGTACAACAGTTAAGGGACATGTACTGTACACCCCCTCCCAGTTGTAGTACATAATCTGTTTACAGTACAATAGTTAAGGGACATGTACTGTACACCCCCCTCCCACAAGTTGTAGTACATAATCTGTTTACAGTACAACAGTTAAGGGACATGTACTGTACACCCCCTCCCACAAGCTGTAGTACATAATCTGTTTACAGTACAACAGTTAAGGGACATGTACTGCACCCTCCCCACAAGCTGTAGTACATAACTGTTTACAGTACAACAGTTAAGGGACATGTACTGTACACCCCCTGCCTCCACCCGCCCACATGTGTACGATGCTGTGTGTATATTTTTGGTTCACCTGAAGATTGAACACCTGAGGCTATTTCTGATGATTGAACATTCTAACCTAACCTAACCTAACCTTATCTAACCTAACCTAACCTAACTTAACCCAGTGATCACCTTGAGATTAGACACGAGCATATTTCACCTGATCTTTTTTTTTATTTATTTGTGTATGTGTGTGTGTGTGTGTGTGTGTGTGTGTGTGTGTGTGTGTGTGTGTGTGTGTGTGTGTGTGTGTTTCTCTCTAATAGAATTCAATAAATTTGGCCCACTCCTTCCCCCCCGCCACAGCTCAGGGGTTGAGGTCGTGAAGGCAACTTGCCGAGGGGTCATAAGAAGAATTTATAGCTCACAGTCTTAACACTCTCCAACTTTTTCGCACCAGATTTTTTTTTAGTTAAGAGTGAACGCAAGTCGGTAGCGGCAGAGGTAACGGAAATACCAGTCGGTGATTCTGATTGTTCGTGGTCCTCAGCCCAATCAGGTTCATAGGTTATTAAAGGGTAATGTACAGTATACCCCCTCCCACACACACACTCAATCCCCACTGTAAGAAGGAATGAAATGGGTTATACAGGTTAGGGACTTATCGCGGTGCAGTTTGGAGTGAACCATGTCGTATTGTCGTAACTTAAGGCCTCCAGTTAGATATGTTCTCTCCCTGCTAAAGTTAAGTTGAAAATATATTACAAATCTCTTGAGAATATAAGCCCAGCGGATAGGACAGAAGGCCAGCGAGATCACTCAGATATTCATGAAAATATTCTATTTCTCTAGACTAAGTAAACGTAAGTTAGTTCATGTATACATTATATGTGTTTGTTGCTGTCAAATATTGCGGACTGTTGGCAATACGATAAAATTACACTCTAGTATTATAAACTGAAGATAAATGGTGATTCTGTGAAATTTTATGACTGTCTGCCTGTCTCTGTCTGTCTGTCTTATCGTTATCCCTGTCTCGTTTTACCAACCCAAGCATCAGTCTGTAAATCTCCCGGTCTGTCCAACTCCATCTCTCTGTTTCAATCTGTCAGTGTGTCTGTCTGTAGTGAGCTTCCCTGGGCTATACCTTGATTGAACCGACTTACCGTGTACCAGTGTTTGTATAGCTGCCTGCATTGTCTGTGTATATACATGATGAACCAGTGTGAGGTTATATGTTGTTATTACTGAGTACAGAATATTTTGTCTGTCTGTCTGTCTGTCTTTGTTAGTTACACACAACACCCAGGTCCACGTTTGCATTCTTGTTCTCCCTCGTCTACAGGTTCACACTTTTGTTCTTCTCCACACACACACACACACACACACACACACACACACACACACACACACACACACACACCTAAAGTTTACTCTGTTGGATCGTTTCTTTTTAACGCCCGGTGGCCAAGTGGATACAGCGCTCGCCTCCTGGTCCCTGGTTCACGCCCAAGGCACCTTCCAGTCCACCCCGGCTGTGAATAGGGTATCCTGGTTTTAGAGTTAGGGGGGAGGGGGAATGAAGGTGGATGAATAGCAGGCTCGGCTCACACTGCTTCTCTGTGTGTATACCGATGGTTGATAGGTGGTTCAGTGTGCTATATCCCCACCGTTCGCCCCTGAACGTCCCCGCACGCGTATCAGGCTTTTTCAGAGCTACTTTTAATTTTGATGGTTACTTTCACTTTTGAGAGCCATTTTCACTTTTGAGATCTGATTTCACTGTTTTTCGTCGCCGTCTCACAGCCTGCCTGTTTCTCTCTATCTCACTATCTCTCTCTCCCTATCTCATTGTCTTTGTTTCTCTCTCCCTCGTTATCTCACTGTTTTTTTCTCGCTATCTCACCGCCTCTCTCTCTTTCTCTTTTTTGCTATTTCATTTTTTAAGTCTTTGTGTTATCTTCGCGTCCTCCTCTTCCTCCATGCTCAGAGGTAGTGTGGCGGTCTCAGCTGGTCTGGCCAACCTTCTGCTTAGTGTGGAAGTTTATCTCTGTTTTAATCCATCAGGCGGTGTTTTAATCTGTTAGTCTCTCTTTTAATCTGTCAGTCTCTGCTTTAATGTGTAAGTCTGTCTTTTAATCTGTCTGTTTCTTTTAATCTATTATTCTTTTCTAATCTGCCAGTGTTTGTTTTAATCTGTCGGACTCTGTTTTATTTTGTCGGGGTCTGTTTTATTGTAATTTTCTGTTTTAATCGACCAGTATCTGCCTTTTAACCTGTCAATCTGTTTAATCTGTCGGTATCTGTTTAATCTGTCGGAATCTGTTTAATACCGTCGGAATGTTACAATATTCTTTCTTTGATTTAGCTTCGCCCCCACGCAGCGAGGGGCTAGTTTATTGGGCACTCTTTACAGCGCACAACAGGGAAGCATGCGGCGCTCATGATTACCTTCTTTAGTGTAGATAATGGATGGGTGAGAGTGTGAGGGGCCATGGATGATAGGTGGGTGAGAGTGTGAGGGGCCATAGATGATAGGTGGGTGAGAGTGTGAGGGGCCATGGATGATAGGTGGGTGAGAGTGTGAGGGGCCATAGATGATAGGGTGGGTGAGTGTGAGGGCCATGGATAGATGGGTGGGTGAGAGTGTGAGGGGCCATGGATGATAGGTGGGTGAGAGTGTGAGGGGCCATAGATGATAGGTGGGTGAGAGTGTGAGGGGCCATGGATGATAGGTGGGTGAGAGTGTGAGGGGCCATAGATGATAGGTGGGTGAGAGTGTGAGGGGCCATAGATGATAGGTGGGTGAGAGTGTGAGGGACCATAGATGATAGGTGAGCAAGAGTGCCTGAGGAGCCATTGGTTTTGTTTGCAAGATACATGTAGTGAAGTAAGAATAAATGTACAGGTATATAGAGAAGAGTCCCTGTCCATATTTTTACAAGGCGTGGTAGGTAATAGGGAAGGAGGAGGAGGATGAGGGATATTTGGCCGGGAAAGGATATACAGTAGGGGGATGGTCTCGCTGGTAGGGGTGAGGGAGGTACATTAACTTTTGACTATGTAGTGAATCCTCTCAATAACAGACTTCTCAATGATTGGATGGGATGGTCAGGTTGATGAAAGGAATAAAGGAGTGTGTGTGTGTGAAGGGAGGAGGGATGGTAGAGAGCCAGGGAGGAAGGGTCTGTATATGTGACAGATCGATGTGGGGAATGTCAGATGGAACGGAACGGTGGAACTAACATCACATTACCTAGGGTTCAGTGGATCAGTTAGGGGCAGCGTGGATATAGTACACTGTAGTCTAAGTTTTTTTTTTTTTCAGTACACGAGGAGACAGTTTGACCAGCACTATACTGCCTTCACTTCCCCATCTATAAAGTCAGGTACCACATCACAGTTTTTTTCGACTGGGAGACCATAGCTCAAACCAATGACCCTTAGGATAGGCAGGGAATGTTGTATCCACTCGACCACCACATCCCCCCAAAAAATCACACATAGGGTGAAATAGACCAGTGAATGAAACATGCCTACGTGTATATATTGACTTAGTTTATTGGAGAACAAATATGGATCACCTGAAGATTAGCCATCCGTCATCTGATTAAACACTAATGCTACTTGTGGTGTTATGTTTGATATAAGGATGTTTATTATAGGTTAGTTTTAGCTTAGGATATGTTTATATTATGTAAGATTAGATTATGTTTAATTAGATTAGTTTAGGTTAGGTTAACGTCAGGGAGGTCACTTTCAGGGTGAATATACCAGGATATCTAATCTACAGGTTTATCCGCCCCCCCAAAAAACAATAAAGAGAGCAAAAAACAAGATAACACTAAAGCCAAAAAAAGCACAAAAAAACGAAAATATGGTGGAGCAGCGTGTTGTAGACGGATGGACACACACACACACACACACACACACACACACACACACACACCTCACACACACACACACACACACACACACCTCACGAGTCACGCCACCTGAATATTACATGAGAACACCTCGACGCTGCCCTGTTTTTACGAGGCCCTGTTGTAAGGTTGGTGGTGGTGGCAGGTAAGGGAAGGTAAGGGAAGGTCCTCCGTTATCACCCATAGAGCGTACTAGGTCTCCCCTCCTCCCCCTTCTGCTATCCCTTCGTCGTCCCTTCAGTGTAATTACACAAAAAAAGCGTGTTGGTGGTTACAGCATTTCCTGCTGGGTAAGGTGGCCACAGTGTCCTTGAGTAATGTGGCCACAGTGTCCTTGGGTAAAGTGGCCACAGTATCCTTGGGTAAAGTGGCCACAGTGTCCTTGGGTAAAGTGGCCACAGTGTCCTTGGGTAAAGTGGCCACAGTGTCCTTGGGTAAAGTGGCCACAGTGTCCTTGGGTAAAGTGGCCACAGTGTCCTTGGGTAAAGTGGCCACCAGTGTCTATATTATACTGTGGTGTTTCGGGACTGAGTTAGTTATAGTTCTTATATACTGTAATTGAGTGACTAGGAGTGAGTTACTAGGCTGGGCGAATGGTGTGTTGTGATGTTGGTGTGTTGTGATGTTGGTGTGTTGTGATGTTGGTGTGTTGTGATGTTGTTGTGTTGTGATGTTGGTGTGTTGTGATGTTGGTGTGTTGTGATGTTGGTGTGTTGTGATGTTGGTGTGTTGTGATGTTGGTGTGTTGTGATGTTGGTGTGTTGTGATGTTGTTGGTGTTGTGATGTTGTTGGTGTGTTGTGATGTTGTTGGAATGTTTTTGTGTGCTATAGGGCGTTGTTTTGTGTGTGTGTGTGTGTAATGATAAGCAACACTTGGGTGGTCATGAAATAGGGTCCTTGATAAGGTTAGACAAAAAAAAAAGGTTTAGTTCCATATTTCATCCCAATTAGTTTTATTTTCACTTTAACTTATAGAGGAAATGTTGTTTTACTTACCGAGTTCTATTAGAAAACCGTCTGAAACTTTCCAATTCCAGATATATAAACATTGTAAAATCGAATGATAATTGAATCACCAGCCGCTCGGAATGTTTACCCAACCATCTTGAACGGTTTGTCGTCTCTCTCTCTCGGCCACCGTCTTCCCTTTAACTCTTTCTTGACTTCGGGGAATCAAAACAAACCATCACTGAACTGAGTCATTTTAGTAGGAACGGACCACTGAGCTTGACTAATCATAATCCTTTCCTGGCAAACTCGGACACAGTAGAGTTATGGTTTGGTGCCCAGTTGTGGAAGGAGGTGAGTGGCTGGGGGTCACTTACTACTGGGCTTAAAGTTACTAGGTTTACCGGCGACATTTTACATAAAGTCACTGTTTTAGGAAGAGCATAAGTGTGTTGGTATAAGACGAGGGAGAGAGGGAGGAAGTGTGTGTGTGTATAACGAGGGAGGTAGAGAAGTGTGTTATAGGAGAATATAAGTGTGTGTATAAAGAGGAAGGAAGGAAGGAGGGAGGGAGACTGCCATGGGAGGACGTGGGTGTGTGTATAATGGGGAGGGAAAAGTGTGTGTATAACGAGGTGGGGGTGGACGTGTGTGTATAACGAGGAGGGGGGGGGGAGGATGATATAAGTGTATGTATAACGAGAAGGAAGGTGGAGGTGAATGGCCTGGGTGCGACACAGGTGCAGCTCGACCTACTGACCTCTTGACACCTGCACGACACATGTGCCAGCAGCTCACACACACACACACACACACACACACACACACACACACACACACACACACACACCTGTGCCACAGTTATGTAACCAATCCTAACAATTGCTTTGCCTGTTGTACATATATAGTTTCCCCCCATTTTTGTCGAATTCACCTATACACAATTCTGTATTTAAATTCACATACACGTATTTCCTCTCTGTGAAAATTCTATTCAGTTTTCCGCCTGTATACAACTGTTGCTATACCTGTTGGCATTTTTGTTGATATCGAATTCAACAGTTTTGTTTTAATTTCCTTTTGGTATCATTTGAGTTGATTGCATCATCTCACCCGCATTTCAATCGAAGAAAATAATGCTTTATGTGAAGATTAGACCATCAACTTATTTCAATTGGTAATTAAACACCTTAATATTACTTGGTGGGGTTAAGTTAGGTTAAGGTTGGATTGGATTAGGTGAGGTAAGGTAAAATTAGATTAGCGTTAGGTTGCTCAATACTCAGATGCTCAGATGATGTAAACTAAAGGTGATAATCTTCATATACTCGATTTAGTTCTGTCGAACAGAGAAAACCTCATCAGCAGTGTCGAGGTAGGGAACGAACTTGCAAACAGCGATCACAAAGAAATTAGATTCCAGCTAGATTTTCAGGGCGGACGAAAGGAAAATTCCACTAAAGTCCCAGATTTCAGAAGGGCAAGCTTTGATAGTTTGAAGAGGCAGTTGAGGGAAGGGGTATCACGACCTCACCCCACCCCTGAACCTGACGGTTGACACCGACCTGATAACACGATCTGAGATTGCACAAAGGCAGAACATACAATACAAAAAACTCAGATCAGACAACAATGACCCTAAATGGATAAATAATTATTTAAAGAACATTATTAGCCAAAGGAAGGCTATAGGTAGAAGGATAAATCGTGGCGAAATTTACCCCCGGGATTATTATAAGGTATTGGCAAGTAGGGTTAAAACCGAGATAAGGAAGGCCAAGAGGAATAATGAGGTAAGGATAGCAAGGGAGGCGAAGACAAACCCCAAAGCATTCTACCAAATGTATCAAACTAAAACACAAGAAAAGATTGGACCAATACGGTCAGACACCGGCGAGCTCACTGATAACGACGGAGAAATGAGCAATAATCTGAATAAATATTTTTCATCAGTTTTCACCACCGAAAATTTAAACATGATACCCGAGGCACCGACTCTATTCAGAGATAGTGAAGAAAACAAATTAAGCGAGATAGTAGTGATTAGTAACGATGTTAGTAAGCAAATAGACAAACTAAAGCCTAATAAGTCACCTGGTCCTGATGAGATATTTGCCAGAGTATTAAAGGAATGTAAGGAAAAGCTTAGTATGCCCTTAGCCAAGTTGTTTAACATGTCATTAAAAATAGGTGTAGTACCAGAATCCTGGAGGATAGCGAATAAAGACGAAAGCTAAGGTGCTCCGTTGTTTCCCTTTTCCCGTGTGATTTTATCAAGATATATATATATATATATATATATATATATATATATATTGCTTTCTACGGCCTTTTGATCTCCCGCTATCAAGTGTCATGCTCGAGTTATCAGTCGGTTCATTGTCTCTACTGTGTACCTTCATTGGGAAATCGTGAATTGAGAAAGAATGTGTTGAAAAGTCACTGCAGGTCATGTTGACACCCGCCTAGCAAACACGGTCTTAATGGGTTGGGTTGTCGAGGTACAGGGTGATCGAAAACTCTCTGTGCACCAGAAATAGATAATAGTATGAGTAGGTGCACAGGGACTTTTCGATCAGTGTACAGCTACCACCCACCTCACTAAAATACAAACATCACATGACTTAAGGTTGAGTTGTCAAGGTACAGGGTGATCGAAAACTCTCTGTGCACCAGTAATAGATAATAGTATAAGTAGGTGCACAGGGACTTTTCGATCAGTGTACAATTTAGTTACCTCCTCACTTATACTACGACTGGAGGCTGTGTGTATAACTAATGTATGTATTCAAGACACACACAATACCATGTAATAACTGATGTGTATATTATTAATGTTAATATTCAGTCAGGTTATGTTTACCCTATGTTAACTTTGTACAGGATTGGTTGAGAATTAGTTATGGTTCGTTAAAGTCAGTTTAATTAAGTTATTACACAGTTGTATTTAGTTTGTTAAAGGCCTCTAGACAAGCGTATTATAGCACTTAGGTTATTATTATATATCAGTAATATATATAAGAAGTGTTGTAGGAGAAATACGTACAGGGAAACCTCTATTTTAACGGGCTATATGGTGATGAAAGTCCGTTATATCGAGGATCCATTAAATGTGAAGCCCCCCATCTAACGGATTATATGGAGAGAGGTGTCCGTTATATAGAGGTTTCACTGTAGATACTGGATCGTTTGATGATTAGACCATCAGTTAGCGTAAGGTTAGGGTAGCATTAGCTTAAGTTAGTGTTTGGTTAGGGTAGCATTAGCTTAAGTTAGCGTTAGGTTAGGGTAGCATTAGCTTAAGTTAGCGTTAGGTTAGGGTAGCATTAGCTTAAGTTAGCGTTAGGTTAGGGTAGCATTAGCTTAAGTTAGCGTTAGGTTAGGGTAGCATTAGCTTAAGTTAGCGTTAGGTTACGGTAGCATTAGCTTAAGTTAGCGTTAGGTTAGGGTAGTAGTAAAGTTAGGTCAAGTAAAACTGTGTGAGGAGAGGTAAAAACTGTGTGTGCTGAGGAAAGTGAAGTTGGCTGAAAGATTTAGACATAATTGAGACAAATTGATGTTATGTAAGTAGGAGTGAAATAAGAAGAGTGATGAAGAGAAATGGACGAAGATTAAGATAATTAGATGTAATAATAATAGTAATGACAACACGTCTATTTATAAAAGCTTGATATGTGAAGTCTATTGAGAGACTTACAGACGGAACATAGGATTAAATAGAACATTAATTCATAAACAACAACTACACAGATGAAATATAAAACTCATTATATTGGTACAGAAATGCTAAGGAATCCAGCAGTGTTGTTGTTGAGAGAAGACCAAGCGATTACATGTCAATAAAACACAATGAATAATGTTAGTTTGTGATATAGTTTAATCCCAAAAGGATTTATTACGTAATTTGGGTAATGACAGAGTGGCGGCCTGGGTCTTGAAGTTATTGTGTGTGGAGGCTGAAGGTGCAGCAGGAGACGTGAGAAATTGTAGCACCGGGCAGGTGGTGAGGGAGGGAGGCAGCACGACCTGCCAGATGGTGAGGGAGGCAGCACGACCTGCCAGATGGTGAGGGAGGGAGGGACGACCTGCCAGATGGTGAGGGAGGGAGGCAGCACGACCTGCCAGATGGTGAGGGAGGGAGGCAGCACGACCTGGCAGGTGGTGAGGGAGAGAGGAAACAGGTGATCACAACTTAACATCAGCTCTTCAGTGTTTACAAATAAAACTCCTCTCGTCCAGACAAGTAAAAATACAGTATTGTAGTGTGTTCCTGTAATGACTGTGACAGCCCTTTTCGTTATTGATTCCAGTGAGGACGAACTATTATACAACAGGACAAAACATTACACGAGAGAACGAAAAATTTCACGAGTGGACGAAATATTACAGGAGGACGAAACTTCCTTGGCGTTGTTAGTGTGGAAGAGCCGCTTACACAACTTATTAGAATAGTCTCTATAACATCATGCTAATTGAGTCATGACTTCAACTATGACTCCCAGCAAATTTTTTAAGACGTGACGCAGGACCGAGGAGAGCTTCAGGGACTGTGGGTGTCGTGG